TTAGGAACAGGGAAGAGAAGACCTGTGGGTTTCGCTCTACAGTTAAGTTCCTCAGTTTCGAACAAATTGCATTTATTGCCTTCCTGTCCTCTTCCTCCCTCACAACCATTAAATCAAAATTGTTAACTTAAAAGTTGGCCTAAAATATCGCAGAGATGTAGAATTGGCCAACCATTGGCCATCAGAGAGTAATAAGTCATGTGTGTGCACCATACAGGGTTGTTCGCCTAAAAAATTTACCAAAAGACAGATTGCCTCCTTTACTTGAGGGTAGACCCGCTGTAAATTATTCCCTTTCTGGAATAAATATGACAGATTTTCGATTAAAGAGGCACACTACCAGATTTCCTAATTGTTGTCCATGAAAAATAAGCACAAAATTTGATCTCGGTGAAATGTAGGCAACCAACTTATCCCTCTCTCTGCCATCTCCATTCCCAGAGGTGCAATATTTATAAATAGCTGAAAATTTTTGCTACTTGTCAGAAAATAAATTCCATTACGAATTGCCTCGAATCCACCCACCTCAGCTCGCATAAACAATCTGCGGGAAAATTAAACAGCCATTATAGCTTAAAAAGGCAAATCTAAAGACAATGTCATTAGATAGGATGCAAAAAAAGGATTTTTGAAATAATAAAATGGTAATTTGACTGAATGAAAGGAGATTTTGCAGACACTTTTATTCAACAAAAGACCACTTAAAAGTGGCGCCAAACAAACTGTTGTTTGAAGCAAAATGCTCTAAAGTAAAAAATATTTATTTTGGAAATATTATGTCCTCATTGAGCTGAAAAAGTGACTTGATGAACTGTACCGAGCATTACAGATGAATCAGCCTCTGGGGCGTGCCTCCTGGTAAGATCTTGTGTGGTGCACGCTTCTCGTTACAAACAAACGCATACACATTCTTGGGCCATTGATCCGATCTCACTCTATCTGATGTGTATACGGAGTGAGGTGAATCGCATGCTAACTCACCCGCTCACTCCAAGGGTTGCTCGCTTGCTAGTTCGCTTGCACAAGCACACATTAAGTCCTTCTCTACGGTTGGCTGTGCTCCAAACGTCATGATAAACGAGAGGCTCCTCTTTTCATCTCGAGTACCATCTGACACTTAGGTGTTTTGCAAACCCGTCTTTCAAAAGTGTGATTGATAATGTCACATAGGCTTTTTAACCAGAGGAATACCGACTTCGACATTCGGCAAATGGTGTGGGTGAGAAGAGGGGATGTAAATGTTAAATGGCGTTATTCTTTTCCATCTCCCTCGCGCTCTCTTGCTCTTCACTCCCTTTCAATTTAAATTTAAAATTAAGAAAAAGAACTAATTTGATAGATATCGAGAAATTCCAAGCTAAGAGAGCTAAATTCTTCTTTTGAGAATTTCGTTTTACCCAGATTTCTCTATTTATTTTGGGACTTTTTGAGTGTTAAAACAAGGGGATTTAGTAGACTGTCAAAATCAGGATCACGTGTCTAAGTCATAAAGTCCATTTTTTATCAAAGAGTTAAAATTTTAGACTCACCTTTTTAAAGTTTTAAGCTTTAACATCATATTATTTAGGTATACATTTGTAAGTGGAAGTTTCGTATCAAAAGTTTTTCCTGTGGGATGTTTCTAAGAGAAAAGTTCAACGGTCTGAATAAAAAAAATGCTGTTTAGTTGATCAAGCAAAAAGATTTGTAGGTGGTTTTAGGCTCCCTATTGGGTAAAATTCTTTGCAATTTTTAGTGACGGACTTTTTATAAAACAGTTTCATCATGTCAAAATTACTAGCCACCACCCATTAAACCTACCAAATGTATCAAGATAGGTTGGATGTAAATGTAGTGGAGTCTTTTAGATGGGTTAGAGGGCTATTGGCATCACTGGAAGGCCATGCTACTGCCCACTCGATGCAAAAAGGCAGAAAATTAAGTCTGTGCATAGCTCAAACAAGGTTGCCTTAAAATCAAGGTATTATAGAAGCAAATCTCTTTTAGAAAAAAAACCACAAAAAGCGATCATTAGCTCCGTATACATAATCTATACCATATAAATGGGATTAAAAGGGACGACAAAGCTTTATTTGTCATTAGCTATTATCAACTTCCAAGAGTTTTTTAAAGGCGCGACGAAAAAGCTGATAAAATCGTGGATGGCAATTCAGACCGAGTGGGAATGCATGAAGGATAGGATCCTTAAGTCAAAAGTAAAAATAAATAAGTTTATTTATCAAAAATGGAGACAAAGGTTTATTATAGGTGGAAAGAGAGGGGTAAGGCTTATAAGTTTGTTTATTCTTTACAAAGACCACATTCTATCTCAAATGTGTTCTTGTTGAATTCAATAGGTGGTACTTAGAGAGACATAGATGGACTCGCCAATGAGCCGTTAACTCCAAAAATACTGATATAGGCCACAGTTAGTAGACATTAAAACAACAGTTGAGTAAAGGCTATGATGGAAGCAAGGCATACGTAGATTCAAAAGATGGATTATTTTTATCCATATTTATAAATGAAAAATACAAAAGCAAGAGGGAGAACAAATGACCAGCTCCACAAAGCAAAGCAACACGTTATCCTACCGAGATGTATCCGGTTTGGCGCGTATTTGGCTGGTTCAGGTTCAATTGTATTTTTTACCTTTCTTTATTCTATCATTTAACAATTTCTGCTCGACTTCATGACTTCCCGCGCTACCATAATGGTTCTTTATGTAGTCCTTGTGATAGTCGACACTGTTTCGTCGCGGTTGTTGAGCAAAATGATGGACACTACCACGTCCCTGTTGTTCATTATTTTTGCGCAGATGTTCATTCTTATTTCTGATAGCTTCAGGGTAGTAGAATTTATAGTCACTTCTAGAGCGTGAACGACGCAATCCTGAGGTTGCTACGGTAAGGAGTACGAGCAGAAGACCAAAGACAAGGAGGGTTGAGCTTCTCATGGTGCAAGATTTGGGTTGTGATGCTTCAAGAGTTTACAAGAGCCTTACTATACTTCAAGCCCTCTTATTGGTCAAGAACTACTTTCCAATTAACAGAAGATAGAGGGAAGAGAAAAGTGATTACAGTTAATTTAGAGTTAAAAGATATATGTGAAATTTGCCCTAGTAGGGAGTTAGACCAGAGGTGTATAAAATTTGTTTCCGCCCAATCTATTTAGGGAACTGTAAATAATCTTGCCTTAGAAATTGTGCTTAACAGCACATCAATTCTTAAAGGGTTTAAAGTTAGCTGCTTTGAAACTGTCTCAAAATTCTTCCGTTTTATCCATGCTTAATTGCGCATTCTCAAGAGCTCAACTTCCACCTTCGAGATGGCGTAGATGCTGCAGATAAGAAGCAGCGCTTGCATTGGCTCTAAATTTATTGGAGCTTGCTTCTATACGTTTCCTTTTTGTCGATCGCAAGACAAGCTTGGAAGGCGTTGACTACCACCTTTAATCGCTTAATGCCATAAATTGCCAAAATACGTATAAAAAGGAGACAAAAGGGCCAGATGCAAATTAGGTATTTACTTTATCTTCAAAAACTAGGCAGAAATGAAGGAGGCGATAAAATAAAACATAAAACTGAAATTCTACTTCTACGCTTAACTAATACGATGTTAATCGATGTCAACGGTTGAATTTCAGTAGTATCGACGGCGACGACGAATTCTTTGTCTTGCTAATTCGCGTGCTATGTCTCCATCTACTTCCCCGCCTCCTAAACTGCGTAAATAGTCCATGTGGCTTTGAATGCTTTCATCATCCGATGCTTGGTCGAAATCATAATATCTGCCTTGTGTCCCATAAGCGTCTAAATCAAATGAACGACCGCGTCTCGCCTTTCCGATTGGGTAGTAGTCATAGTAGTAGTCGGCGTCTGGATGATGTCGCCATCCAGTTGCAGATAGGGCAAGAAGTAGAAGTAGGAGACTGAAGAGACAGAGCGGTGAACCTCTCATGCCGACAATTTTTTAAATCTGACAGCTTATCCAAACCTTGAAAGTAACATCCATATTTACCAGCTTTTCAATTGGTTTGATAGTAACGTTTACCTAAACGCTTTGTCATCTTTTTTTCCAGTAAAATATGGTTCAATAGTGATATGCATTGTTTTTAACAGCTCTAGCTTGATAGAAAACGCTGCATGGTCAGTAATGAGTTCGGTGCCTCACTTTACCACGGAGGCACGGTAGGCCAGCACGATATTTCATCTGAATCTTTTTACCACTAATGCACAGGTATTTATCAAAAGTTTTTCTGCTTAAGACCAGCTTATATGCTCCTCCTTCATCAAGAGCGTGCTGTTACCGAATGATAATTCAATGGTGTTCAAGTCGGAGCTAAGGATGCCTAAGTATATCATCTAAATTAAACATCATAGTTTGAAGGCGACATAGGTAAAACTGCCTAGATCTGCTTGACTCCAGAAATACCAACTCCGCTTATAGAGTTGATATAAGTAGATTTTGGCGTTTAGGATTTGGGAATAAAATCGCACAGATAATAAGTGGATTCACAGCCAGGTTCGAGGACTTAATTCAAACAGTCAGAAAGTACAGCACCCAAATGCAACCTAAACCTTTCCTTCGGTGGCTGTGGACCACTTCTTCCATCAAAACGCGAGATAAATTTACGCGCTTCTGTGTCATGTGGTGTGTTGGGCCGTCAAGTGGTGACTGACACATTGCGTGACCACAGTTCAGTGACTATGCAGTCTGTCATCTTAGTGTGCGGACAAGTTGATTGTGTAACGAAAGGTTGTTGACTGTTCTTCCTTCGAAAAGCATGGTTGCGTCATAAGCAGGCTTGTAAGGACTTCTTTGATTTTAAGCTATTTCAGGGCCTCAGTGTGGCCCCTTTTAAAAAGAAAAAATAGGAGAATAAAATGAATCCCATCATTAAGCAGAGTGGGCATCTTTTTTTCTTCGTGCGTTTCGACTAGGGTGCTTAAAATTTCAGATTTACACCTCAACAAAATTTGTGTACAATTGTTTTTGTTTGATTAAGGATTAACCTGATTGGCTAATCGGAAATTTTTGCATATGAAACAACCAATTCAAACAATTTTTAATATCTATCAGAGCAGTGTTATCTTAGTAAAGGTCTCGGCAAATCTTGTGACGATAAAATCGCAGAAGTGAGAAACCGTTTCCCAGCCAGCAATAAAATTCAGTAGAGAATTAAGGGAAAAATTTGATGCAAAAGCGCCGTTGTACAAGAGGATCAGAATATTTCTTAGTAAAAAATGCAAACGTGTTTCAGAAAACATCTTCATGGGGTATCAAAATGTCCTTTTAAAATATTATATGAGTTATACAAATGTTGCGTCCAGAGTCTTCCCTGCAGTTATAAGAATCTACAGTAATAAGGCAGAGGACACATCAATGATGCTTAGAAGAGCTAAGAGGACACTGCTCTGACACGGAGGTCATGCTACCGAGCCGAAGAACAGACTGCGAACGCTTAAGCGCCCGCATAATCAACGATTTATTAAGGCATTGCATAGCCCCTCTCTTCTTTTGGGCGTCATTTCCAGCGCCTCCTTTGAGCAAATTCCTGCGTTGGCTATCACCACCTAGTTGGTGCTATAAAAAACACCCACAGACCAGCTCTGTCGGTTATAAAATTGACGTGCGGCTGAGAAGACATTGGGATTCAACACCATTGGTGTATTTTGGCTGTCCCATTGGAACTGGTTTTTTGTTATGCTTAGGAACTGTATCAGGAAAAACGGTAACGCGCCGTCCTCATACCGCTGTAGAGCGGATGATACTCAAAAACAAGGCCATTCCGTAATATAACCTCTATTTGTAAAAACACTGACTGAAAAAGCAGAGCTAAGCTTTAAAAAGTTTCATGAAGATGATATTTTGCGCCTATTCATCCATGCTAGTTTGTTCTCACTTTAGTGCTGCCTAATCATATCTATTGCGATTTTTCTCCAGCCTACAGCCTACCACGTGCTCACTCAGTTGACGATTTCCATCTAAATGCTGTAGACAGCTCCGTGATGAACTTGTTTGGATGGTTTACGACTAGTGTTGCTTCGATCGTTAATAGCATTACCACGAAACACGGGATTAAGGTAGTTTCAGACGTCAGCAACGTAAATTTAAAAAAAATCTTGGGTATTTACAGATTCCCCTTCAGCAACAGATGTCCTTTCTCTATCACTTTATCGCAGAGCATTCGATAATAGAAGTTAGGGTTGTGGCCCATCAGGATCGGGTTTGATTGACACTACTACTAATGTAGTCTCTTAGTCTTTCCTGAAGTATTAAGAAGTCACGGATTCATGACAGAAAATACGCCACTGACTCGGCCTAAAGGCGATTCTACCTATTGAAATTACAGTCTGCGGAGATTTAAGTGCCAGCATAATCATCCACAGTTAAACAAGCTGTCAAAATATTACATAAATTTGGAAATGTGTTGGTATTGACGTAAAGAAGAGACGTGACACCAGTAGCATAAATAGCCTCTGAAAATGCCGCTTTGTACTTAAATTATTTAGATTATTTTTTAACCAGAAGAGATGTTTTATACCCTCTATTTTATAGAGTAACCCTGGAGAATACCTGTTGATTTTTACTACATCCCTTTGTGGAAGATTCAGGTAACTTTCTGGCATTTTTGAAAGATCAAAACAGAAACCACAAATATGAATAAAAAGAAACAAGGACAAACAAAAAACAAGTTCAAATAAGCACCAATTATGGTAGAGCTTTTAACAGACCTGAAAGAATTTACAACAACCAATAAATGAATAGCCATATAATCAGTAGGAGAGTCTGTTAATGGAGATAAAGGCCTCCAAACCTCAGGTAAAATGAATGCACTCTAACTAGCAGTTGAGGAGCTTTGTTTCTTCAGTTGTATCGCCTACGTCTTTGGCTTCTTTGTTTCGCCAATTGCTGCGCCTTGGTCCGATCCACGTCCGAGCCTGCAGTATCTTGCAGGTACTGCAAATGACTGCTCAGGCTACTGTCATCTGCGTTCCTTCGAACAAGGTAAGGTTCAGGTCCTCGACCATGATGTCTATACAAATAACCCTTTCCGTGATGGTTCCTAACTCCAAGCGAGTTATGCTTTCGATGGTGAACATATCGAGATCCGCTTGTCGAAACGGCCAACAAAACAAGCAGTAGACAGAAAAGAAAGAGCGTTGGTCCTCTCATTTCGAAAAACTTGAATATGTCACTACCTACATCAACGAATATGAACTTGAGATGCTTGTCTTCTGATTGGTCGATAGGTATTGCCAAATGGTATGCCAGATCACTGTGCACCAACCAGATTGCAGGGACGATAAAACGGTAGATCAAATTATGTTAACACAGTGTCTGCAACACAGCGACAACCTTGGTCATGTACTTATCTTAGCCACCAAATTAATTGACACTTGTATAGAATGATAATCACTCTCCACTTTTGTAAAGCTTGAATTGCTCAGATTTAATCAGCTACTAGGTGGTTTCTCGGTATAGTTTTTTCACAGAAATGGCCATGCAAATTTGCTTCTTTCCTTCCTTGGTTAGTTTATGGCGACAAAGAAGCATAATTTCGACAATGAGGCGTACTTAACTGTTATTCTTCCATGGTATGGAGGAAAAGTATGACGAAGTGGTTTTTATGTGTTCTCAATAAATTACAGCTATTTGATAAGAAGTTGGCTTAAAACTTTAACAACTTTTTATTTAAAGTATTACCGAAATGGCGTAAAAAGTATGCAGAAAGATATTGCCCTTTGAATCACTCAATTCTGCTAAGCAGAGGGGACTTTAACTCATCATGTGGTTTGTTAAGTTAATGGCACAAGTGGGTACAAGCCAGCCTTTGAATATACCATGAATGAGTTATCGACCTGTATTCTTGTCAAAAGCGTCTGACAATCTACCGAAGGTTGCTGAAAATTTTTCAGTAGTGGGTGCTACCGAGGCTACATTAATAAATGCGTATATGGTGTCAGCTTTAACTTACATAACTGTGGCAAGGTATGTGCAAGGTTAAAAAGACCAAACTACTAATCATTCTGTACAAAAAAGTCCAAAATTAGTATTAACACCCGGTATTTTTATTCATATTTTCATTTTGCATAGAAGTTTTGTGATTTTCGCCTCTAAACATGTTGGTTTTTTTTAAGAAATTGGCAATTCTTGGCTTAGTATGTAGTGGGAAAATCATACAAACAAATAGACGTGATATCAAAAAACTGGGATCTATTTTATAAGTAGTCCATTTAAATCCATCCATTTTAGCCAAGATGCACATTAATCCAAAAAAAGACAAGTAGAAGAGTTACTAGGTTGCAGGTAGCGTAGTCATAAGGTCGTGGAAAAGCAGCATGTTAGAGATAAATAGATAGATACCTAGCATTATCTCACCTGGCACTGCGAGACTTTGACTACTTCGGCCTCCCCCATTTCCCATATGATCTTCAACACTCTTGTGCATCTTCAAGTCCCCTGGACTCGGTGTCGTGATGGCTGCAAATCGCAAAGCACTAAAGGATGAGGCGAAAATGAGGCGACGACGACTGGGAACACCCGCTGGACCGCTACTTCATCGTGACCTAAAAGTGAGTAAAACCTACTAGATGAGGCAGTGATTCTCCTTAAGCGAATTGTCTTTTCCTCCAAAATCAACTTATTTCATGCAGTTTAAGGTCGAATCAAGGGAAGGAATTTACAAATTCATACAAGACACTTAATTGATAAGTTGGCGTCAATGCCAAGAATAGCTCATTCACTTGCACCCTTATAGCTGTCACTATCACCCCAGTTAATAAGTTACAAAATTGAAAAATTAAAGGAAAAGTTACCGTCCTTACGTATTTAAATTTAACCTACTGCTCTTTGTACCAAATGTATGTTTAACCCGTAACAAAATTTTATCTTTAAAGTGGAAGATAAGCGGTGCAAATTGCATCTGCTAGAGAAAAGAGGTAATGCTGTGGATCACACAAAACTGGCAAAGATTAACTTTTCAACTTCAATAAATTCACGTTTTAAGTTTGTTTTTGGTTGTAAAAAGGTAGTAAAAGAGAGAAGGAAGACTCCACTGCTAATAGGCATTTATTACTTGCCAAATAATATATGGAGGAGTTTCCCTTCACCAAAAAATGGTTTTTGTTTAAAGGTTTTTTTACAAGGCTAGAAAACTTTTAGTTATCACACAAAAAGAAGGCAGAAAAGAGGAAGAATTACAGGTTACAGTGATTAAAAGCGCAGTTGATATTAAACACGAAGATAATTACTGCGGGGTCACTTGCATTTGTACAAATGTCGTCAGGCCAGTTCAATTTGGCCTCAAAATTTCTAAATAAATTGTGGAAGTATTTAAGACTGATATATACTTCAGGAAAAACAGTCAAATAAAATAACACTTCATTTTTGCTTACTATAAGATAGAGTACATGACAAAAATGCTTACTTTATAGCTCCTGCACTGATGCTTTCGAGGAGCTCAGAGAAGGATGCATCAAAACGCGCCTACATGAGATTTTTCCTGGATTTATAATTACAGCGACTTGTCGCTTAAATTGATGTCAGTAGTTAGCAAAAACTTAATGGAGTTTTTTTACAAGGTTACCCGATTGCTAACGGAACATTGGGGCGTGTTTAGGTATATATTTTGCTGATTGCTACAATGGTGTATAACAATGCCATGGTTACAGCTTTGAAACAAACTACGGGATATGGTAATTTATACCTCTATTAGTTCTAGAGTGCACCGCACCTGAAGCTTTTGTTGAACCATCTTTCTGGAATGCTCTACAGCAAGTAATGTTCAAACCATTAGAGTTGAAAGTTGAGTTAAGTTGGAACAAAAAACGGGAGAAGTGTTGAAAGACTTCGCCTCCAAAATTAACAGCCCAAATCTTGACAAATTGATTGTGTCTTCATGCCTTCTTTCACGAAAATTTTGTCATTTGAAAACATTTAGGCAATTGGTTACATGCCTCGAATTTCCAAAAGGTTCCCCTTTTCGGACATTCTGGAACACCGAGTTATCACGTCATCTCTACTGACCAGCGGACACGATGCATGGGTGTACTTTAATCAAGCTAATGCTCACCACAAGTTCAAGGTTAAAATCGCCTTAATTCGCGAGAATGGGGACCACCGTGTCTCCTTGACTTCCTTATTATTCAGTGCGCAGGCGGTACCACCCTGCTTACTTATTTCTGTCTGTGTGCGATACTTTTAACAAATCACTGGCATATGCCGTAATCTGGACGCAAACTCGAGAGGATTCAAACTAACACGCAAAAACACCACCTTATAACAAAATGATTACGTGGATTTTTAAGTAGCAATAAAATTATGCAGAAATTGAGTGCATGAATTTTACGGTGCCTAAAGTCTTTTGGACCTGTCGACCTAGATTTTTGAGTTGCCTATAATGCGGGTGCATTTTATGAGCCTGGAACATCCAAAACTTCGTCATATGTGTTACCCTAAAAAGGAGTGCGTTACATTAAGTGAATGCTGCAGAGGGAGGAAAATAAAAGTGGTGTTAGCAAAACCTGGATTTGCGTCTTGAAGTTCCAGAGCAGTGTACATTGTATTAACACCACTATTTGCCTACACGTGCAACACCTCCCTCCCACCTCTGGATCCAGACCCAAAAATTAAGATAAGAGCTTAGGAAAAGGCAGAATACAGTGGAGCGAAAAAATGATCCAAGTCTTACAGAGATTAGAGTGGATTAAACCGAGGACGATCTTACATCCACAAGGTTGGTCTTACCCACCCGCTTGCAGCCTAAAAGGTGTATGCCAACATTTAGAGCAATTAACCATTGAGGTTATTAGAAATGCTTAGAAGATTCAACGCATAATTTAGTATTTTACAGAATACTCTTCGACAGTTTTGTGAGGTGGCGTACCGACTACTTAATTAAGTAGCATTAAGTGGTGAATATTCACGTTTGCGGAAACGCACAATCACTCACCATGATCACCACTTCCAAGGATTTCTCTTGAGACCTTTCAACGCCTTCGAATTATTTATGTCAAAGATCCATCTTGGCCTCATACACCATATTACGCGATTTGAAAAGGTTTCTCACCACTTGTTCGGTGATAAACACAAAAATCACGCGGGCACTACCTCCTGCACAATACTGTAAAAACGGGACAAAAAACGAATTATGAATTTGTTTATCTGTAATCAAAGTGCTTAGGAAATGATGCTTATTCCCACTTGAGAAAAGTTGAATAACATGAAGTTAGGACTTTCAAAAGAGGAGAAAATAGAAGTTTGAATCGAGGTACACCCATTCATTGCTCCTAGGTGGGCCATTTTACAACGATATACCCTCTAAGCACATCGTGAAAGCTGTCCTCATCCAAACCGTCAAGTAAAAAGCGTGCCTCCTACCTCAAGCTACCTTTTTAAAGGGGGACAAAAAAGGAGTCATGAGTTTGCAGCTTCACATGGGTGTGAAGTATACCTCATTAGGAGGGAAGGTAACTTAAGTGCGCTCATGCCATGCACAAGTTGATGGCTCTCAACAGGGCACATAAAGGAGCTCCCAAAAGCATTACACCTTCTATGGATTGTAGTAAAAATTGTATGCTGGATTGACAGCTATAAGTGGGTCTATTTGAGAATTTCCGTTTGCATTTAGGCCTATTCGCTTCTTATTCGGTGGATAGGGGGAAAATCTAAATAACCTTTAACAAAGCAGAGTACAAACTCGTTTAAAATAAAGAAAAGAATAAAAAGTTTTGCGACATTCAAGCCAGATTTACCTTAAATTAAAATAACCTTTACGGCAAAAATGTGTCTGTAAATAAACTGAGACGCCAGATGTCATAACCAGGTGCATGCGTCACTGGGTCCCGGATTCCATCCAACTTCCAACCGTGCAGGCATGATGAGTGCAATTTTGGACCAAGATACATGGGTAAGCTGAGAGGTGCGGCAGTGAGTGTACGAGCCTGAAGGCTGGTAGCGGAGACCACTGAAGGCAGAATCCCGCAGTCGGAGACCGTGTCCGCGTCTGAGTCACTCTGTTGTCTTAGTCATGTACAGCTGTAGTTAATGCTTGAACCTCGGACCTAGGACGCTTATTGGCCCACTTGAAGTGGAGCTAAGAATGACGTTAGCCAATCACAGGGGCCTGGGCGAAAACACGGCTCTCGAGAATGGGTTGTTCGAGAATTTAGGCACGAAAGTGGAGACTACTGGAAAGCTGGTCAGGAGTTTTATTTGTCCTGGGATTTCCGGCGTCCCCAATGGTGTCAATAGGGGCGTTTGTTCAATTTGAGAGCATTTACAAGCCTTTTTTTCGAGCTAGTTTTGTACATTCCTTAGTATTGTCTAAAGAGGTTATTTCAAAATTTATCTTTTGTACCTTTTATCTAAGAGCCGTCCTTGTTAAAGCTAGTAAATGAGCCTGAGATCTTCTTTCAAACTTCTATGCAATAAAAATCACCACAGTGCGTGCGAGGACAGATAAACGCTAATATTGTGACTCATAATTAAGGATGTCCCTCATTTGGCTCTAGCCATCGAGGCTTGGATCATGACAAATGTGAAGAAATGAATTCCTATTTCATCCAGCGAGTCCTTGCGTGATGTCACTGGGTTTCTCGCGATCAAGGTCATGAGGGACTTTCACAGTGCAGCTGAGCATACTTTCCACGTACTATTTGATCAGCTACTTTTAGGAACGTCGAACATTTAAAAGCAAAGAAACGCGAGTCATTTTGCCTCTCTCTCTTTCTCAACACCTACGCCAACACTTTAGCGAATGTGTATTTACCAACTGAAGAATGCTATCAAGATTTCAATCATAAGTATATTTAGTAAAAGGTATCCTGGGTTATGAGAAGACTCCGTTTTTTTACATAACCTCCAAGTGCACCAGTGAAAGTTCGGCAACCTGAGTGGCGAAGATCGTTGAAAAGGCATGGCTGAAAAGGAGGTATGTTAGAGAGTGGATTCAGTGAGTTATAAAAAGTTAACCAAAAAATCCCCAAAAGCATATGTTTTTTAATTCGGCTAATCCTCGTTCCCGATTGGTAAGTTTACCTTGCATGCGCCTTTGGAAAAAGGGACTACTTTAACCTCCTCAAGGAAAAAGGAATTCTATCGATACAAATTTTAGCAACTTTTAAATGAAATGGTCTTCAATTTTTCAATGATAGATCCTGATTAGTCAATTTGTATAAAATTATCTGGCTAAAGAATGCAACTTCGAGACCGTAAGTTGCGTTTCTAGGATAATCAAACTAAACTTAGGAACGTTTTTGTCTTTCAAACACAATGGTCGTGACAAGCTGACTTGCTAATTAAATCAGCTGACTTTATTCTTATCCATCCATCCTGCGAATATTATTCTGCAAGCCTTCTTAAAAGACCAAAGGATATATCCATGACCATTTAAAGAAATTCGAGAAGACCCTCAGTGTACCAGTAGAGCCTTACTCTAAAAACTCTTTGCCTTCTTTTATTGACGGTGATCTCCCTGGCAGAACTAAAGAATAAGTCAAAATTTTGCCTTAGTGAGCACCAAAATGACAGTGGCAAGGAAGAGAGGAATTCGGCCAAAGTTTGCAGGGTAAAAGAGGACTCTTATTTCTCTTCGGGGAGGAATGTAGGTAGAATAGACGAAGAAAGAAGATTAAGTCGCATTTTAAACGCCGAAAAACGAATTTTTAAGGTAGGGTACGCAAAAGAAGACAAAGCTAGTGCTGTTAAAGAAATTCGGCTAGTTTTCTGCAGCCTTTAGCTAAAATCATTACAATTCTTAAAAAGGAAAAGAGTAGTTAGAGAAAATCATCTCAACCTTCGTAGCATAGGAGAGGGGGAAGGGCTTCTAAATTATAAAGCCTTTTAAGGACTTACTGTTCGGCAAGGCCATGGAATTGACTCACGTCGGTCCACACACTGGGTTGGTGTATTCTGACCACTTATTACCTAAAACATGCATATTGCAGGTCTAGCTTCAATATAAAACATTATCTTATTGTGCTGCGATATTATGCAATACTCTGGTTGCAAGTTCAACTCTTCGTTTTGGTTACGCGGTCACTTTCTCTCCATCAGCGCACTCACGCACGACGGCATTGTCTCCATACCAAAAGAGTAACCTCTTAGCCCTTTTGTACGTCGGCAAGTAGTGGTACAAATATGTCTGTAGTACCTCAAGTCATGCCTGAAGACACTAGATATCGCAGTAGCTAGGCTAAATACGTACTACTGACATAAAAAAGGACTGAGAGGCTTCTGACATTTAAGATATTTTAAATATCTACGTTAACCGTTGATGATTTCTTGCCGCGAAAAAATAAAGTGAGCTATGCGAATAAAGTGTGACCTTCGATATGCTGATATGAGGAATCAATGTTCCCGTTTGACTACTCTAACGCTTTAGTCTCCTTGGTTTGTACCTCAGCACAGAAACAGGACTTTTGTCCCATATCAATGACCTCCCCAATTTGTGCGCATTTGGAAGTAGTACAGTGTAGTAATAGCACCGCTGCAGAGTCGGCACACTACACTACCTCTTTTTAAAGAGACGCAAGTGCAAAAACTCAGCTAGGGTGTTTTTCAGTTACTTACGGGTCAATTTTCGGATATAAGCTGGTGCTACATTTGGAGTCTCCCAGCGCAATTTAGCTAGGTCAAGCTGTCGAGGTTGTGCCAAACTTTGGAAAAGTGTAGGAAATGTAAAACTCCTTATTTACGTGCTTTAATGGGAAACGAAAAGTTCTCTAAATATCCCACTTTCCTTAAATTTGTAAATCTTATTACAGTAAGGTGCATAAAAAGTAATATGAGAGAAAACCTCAATAAAATTTAATTCCATCCATCCATTCATCACATCGAATGTCAACAACTCTTGTAGCACTTTTATTATCATGATCAAGCTCAGTAAGCGAATCTCCAATGAATCTTTCCTAATAGTCATAAAATACCATTATGCACCAATAGAAATTCAAACTTGAATTTGGGAGAGAATAAATTTAAGTAGCCATGAGTGCTTCTTCTGTGTCAGTTACGCTGATCCATCATGCGACTCTCCCTTCTGACCCTCGGCATTCTTGCCTACCTTTTAGTGGCAATGCTTTCCTTTGCAGAATCAAGGAGGTACACCAAGGACATAGTCTACGCTGACGCTGGTACAGACACTGGACCGTGGGGTGGAAGGCAAAGTTACGACAGGCCAAGGAACTATGCGGAAGGGTGCGGATATGACAAGAAGAAGAAAAGGAAGGGGAAGCACAAGAAGAGTAAAAAAGGCAAGAAGAAGTCAAAGAAAACCAAGGTGACGCCGAGTCCAATGGTACTGTAAAAGCTTAACAAATGTGAGAGGCACCGGCATTGGACATCAACATATTTAAAGTGTTTGCTAAGATTAAACCGATTTATTTTGCAATTCTCCATTTAACTTGCCTCTTCTCAAATTACTAATAAATCATTTCATTAATAGAGCTTTCTTTTGACCTAACGATTCATTCATTTTTTGTATCAATCGTTTGGCCTTACCCTTAAGTTTCTCTACCTGAGTTGTGTTGCAAGAAGCACTAACTGTCGGAACAAACAATATGCTACCAATCCCATTTTTCTGCTCGGCGAAGTCACAGTCAACACTTAAATACAATTTCGGTAATTGCTGTAAATCCTTTATTAATATGCTCAATTATCAAATGCATTTATTTTTTTTACAAAATTATCTATTGGTCTTATCTCCGGTAGAACTAGAGTATGTAAGATGGACTCCCCACCTTGATGGGCACGAACCTGAAGATGAGGAGAAAAGTGGAATTCGGGCCATAGGCAGTAGGGTAATAGAGGACTATCACTTCTCTCCAAAGAGTGAGTACGGATGAATAGATGATGGAGGAATAAAAGTCACTTTTCGAGAATATGAAAAGCAAATTTTGGAAAAAAATCAAATTATTTGATTTTTCTTGTATTTTCTGAAGGTAAATACTTCATTTTAGCCACATTTTCGATGACTATTAATAGGTACCCTAATTCCCTTGTCTGTACATTTTTGCCCTTTTTTCCTTCTACTCCCATTTCTAAACCCTTGAATAAGCGATATGCATTAGAGGAAGGAGGGAAAGGAGGTGTGGAGGAAGTTTACAAATTATTACAACTTTATGGAGGGATTTAGTATTCGGCTTCGCTTTGGGAATGGATGACTTTCGCTAGGCCTCGAAGGTGGGGAATTCTGACCGCATGTCACCTAAACGGCATATTCAAGAAAGCGTGTTTGCCACTTTAAGTGGGAATTTTGTTTTTTTCTTTGTGGTTGGCCTCAGAAATAAACTTCTCCTCGTTACATGAAACTGAGGCTCTGTGATATTATGCGATACTTTGATTGTTAGTTTATCTCTTCGTTATGGTTACGCAGGAACTCAAGTTGCCTCCATTGTACTTCCGCTCGCTGGCATGATTCAGGCGCATTTTTGCCTTCCAAATAGTGACGGTTATTTCTTCAACGGAATCCAAGAGGGATTCCAACGACCAAACTAAATTCAAGGCTTTCATCGATCCTGACACAGGATGATTGAAAGAGAATTTAATTTAAGATAGAAATTCTAACAGATCAAAGGGAGGTTTGGAAGGCTGTAAAGTTGAATGGACGAAAAAGTAAAGGCAAATGCGAAAATATGAAAAAGGACAACAATAAAAGAAAAGGGCCAAAAAGCGGTCTAAGCAAAACAAGTAGTTTAAGAAGACTTATCTGCACAATATGGCAACTCGTAAAGTGTAGCAAATGTGTGGCACTGACGTTGGAAAACAACATGCCTTAAGTGTTTGCTTGGGTTGCATGATTTTTTTTTATTTCTGCAAATCATCAATGAATCGTTTTATTAATGGAACTTTTCTTCTTGACTAACAATTCATTTCATCGTTTACCTAAATTGTTTTATACCCTCTTTTAGTTTATCAATCAAATTTGTATTATAGGAAGTAATAATTGTCGGAACATACAAAATATGAGTTACTCGCCCCTACTTCAATTTAGTTAAGTCGTGGTCCCAATTCTTATGTACAACACGTGCAAACAAAACTTTAGCCATTGCTGCCATGCCTTAAAAAAAAATAAGGAGTGCATTTTCAATTTTTAGCAGTCATTTATTTTCTTTTTTGTCTCTATTATAAATAAGTTCAGAAAAATCTAACTTTTTTTAAGTCTGACATCATATATTTGGGAAAAACAAGATGCTAATACTATTTTTAAGCATAAATGTCGTAGTTGTTATTACTGATTACTAACTAACTTTACTCGAATGCCAGTAATAATGATCTGGTAATTAATGTTCTAGGAAAAATGCCTAGTTTATGACGCAACTTTCAAAATAACTCTATGTTTTGCAAAGTTTTCTTCATTTATTGCCTGCTTTCCTGTTAATTTTAACATTCACGGCATTTTTTTCTACATAAACTTGAAGTCAATGCCAAGCAAGAGGCATAAGCTATTGGGTTAGTCTCACTGAAGCAAAATTTACTTGTGTCATGAATCATTTAAAAGAACGTTATGAAGGCATGCGATCACCTTCACGCAGCAGCCTTACTCACGAAAATTTAGCTGATGGCATAAATCCTTTATTTTTAATTGTTTTGCATAAACCAGATTGTACGGCGCTTACTCTCTTCTCAAACTCCCCCTTTCCCTTCTAAGAGGTCATTTTGCTGCTTTCGTGTCAGTAAAAATACTAACGACAATCTGTTAAATTTTTTCACGAAACATGAGTGCGAAAAATGGGTGAAACAAAATAGCATATTCTATAAGTGGAACTGATGAAAATGGTCAAACGTATCAAGTGATTTTTTTGACAAATCCATATTCATTTACAAAGCGGCTTGATTATAGCAGATTTTAACCTTCGGCGTTACTCGTGGCTTTAATAGACACAACAGATCTTACTTGCTGTTTTCTAGAATTTGTTTCAGTCACTATAAATGTCGGGTTAACCTCAGAGACTGGTTTTGCAGATCGCTGCAATACTTTGGTGCACATCGTCATTGTTTAGGGAGGATGGATGCTAGGTTGAGAATTCTTCTATTTTGGTCGAAAGATGGGAGGGAGGGAATGAGGAGGAGTATGCAAAGAGTCCTCGAATTACCGAACGAGCTTTACGTGGTTCACCTGCAACCTAATTCGAAGGATGGATAAACGTCTAAATTTGACACGAAGGTTATGCACCCATCATATTCAAGAACCTCAGAAGCATGAATGCTAACTCAGCATGTTGCAAATGCATACATCTGTTAAGTTACTCTGGCCCATTTTCTGTATCGTAAAGGAACTTAAGAAGTCATTTGCATTGTGACCAACTTTTGTTAACATCCATTCTTTGACGCTCAAGGTTAAAAATACTGATTTTAGGTTAATCAAGTACACACCAATTAATCTGACAACTCCGTAACCAGTTTGACTACGTACATTTGGACTTTAAAGGAGTCAAGTCTTAAGACGAGTTAAAAAGACACAACAAAGTCAGCATCAAGTCGGGAATGACATTGTACATTCTAATTAATTAATAACAAAGTACCCAAGGTTTAGAGGGTTACTTACTTAGGCCGAATGTACAGTGTCCAAGTGGTTAGATTTGCAGTAAAACAAATCAGCGAATGCCTACGATGTCGATTCAACTAGCTCTCTTGCAGCCTGCACATTCAAAGTAGGGTGAACTACACAAATATTACGATTTTGCTGCCTTTGTAAGTCAGGGGAACAGCGTACCCGATGTTTAAAGTTTTTGCAGTGAATTTTTGTGTATGAGACTCTCGCGCAAAACTGGGCTAAAGTAAACTAACCTAGACAGAGTAACTGCCAATAGATCTAGATATTCTTCTTATGCACAGAGCTTATAAAATACAAAATTATAACGCAAGGCATTTGATGCTGACTTTCTTCCGTCCAATAGAAGGCAGAAATTTTTGAAGGGAAATAAAACAAACATTAAGTATATTAGTGTAGAAATTAAATAAGTGCCATTAGTACGATATTTTGCTAGTTTTCCTTTATATCTTAGGTTTCAGACACCCGAATTAAAAGGATAAATTGGAAGAGAACAGCATGCATTGAGAAATATGGGCGGGGTGGAGGGAATAGTGTTCGGTGGTGCAACCTTTCCGCTTGTCACTTAGACAAGGGTTGTATTCTTAATTAAACACCCTTTTTAAACCTACTCACCAATTCGCTTTGAAAGGGAGATGAGTAGAATGGGATGGCTAAAGGTTAAACATGTAACCGTTGGTAGAATTTTCCCACAGACTTATCAAAAACACTAGGATGAGTCTGCTTTTAGCAAATATATTGCTGTTAACCTAAATAAGTAGGCACCTACCTCAAATATATCACCGATTTTAGTTGTTTAATATTCTCTTTATCTGCTGATTTGGCTATCCAGGGACAGCAACCTCCATGAATTGTACTTTCCCCCCTTTTTTACAAGGACCCTTTGCCTAACCTATGGCTTTTTAGGCCTTCTAGAGAGTTGCAATGTTTTTTTTGATGTTATATCTTGTTACTACCTCAGACCGTTACAGTTTAAAGGATGAAAAATTTCTATAAATAGTTTTCTTAAAACCTAGTTAATGGCAAATGTAGTCAAGTACTGAATTTGCAAAAAATGAAATCAATCCTGACTTCTTCAGAGATGGTTTGTTTTAAAGCTAAATTACCGTTTAACATTCATCGGTGCATTCAAAAACATGCAAAAATTTTTTGGACCCTCTTCAAGGCCAAATGGAAGGTGACGTTACCAAGGAAAGTGGATTGCAAGATTATTTTAAACACGCAACAGTGGGACTCTGCTTCAAAGTCTCTAAAGACTGAGTAACTATTTTCATGAAAATCATTTAATAATGCTCTTTTTTAATTGACTTGGTAGATGATGGATAACTTAGCTCCTATTTCTACAACTCCAAAAAAATTCTTTATTAAAATTTCTATGAGTTCTAATTTGGGTGACCAATTCCCGACAAATCTAGAACCTCACACTTCTTCCTTCACCCGCCTTGGCAGCTGTCGCGTACAGATCGACTTACTATTGGCTTAAGAAAAACCAAATACAATAAATTGGCAAGCCGAAAACACCTCTTGTTTTCGGTAGCTTCTACTGGTCGCTAGGTCGTCGAGTACACACAGGCAGCGCCTCCTCGCCTGCTCATACACGTTGACGAACAATGACTTGTAAAAAAGTCATGACTATTACTTACTCTAGGTAGGAGTACGGCAGAATCCAATCCTATGCGCTTAAAACAACACTTACTGACAGCTTCGTCTCATAAATCTTACTTTGAGGCGCATTGCATCTCATAATGACTCAGGGTTGTTCTTATTTTCCTAGTATACAACAATTCATCCCAAAACCCATTAATCGCTTAGCATTACTGTGTCACCACTGGTAAAGTTTTTTGTGTTTTTCTTTTTTGAGTGACACACATTAAATTCTGCTTAAAAATTCAGTCCTATGGATTTGACAGAAGCATTGAACGAAAAGAACTAAATGTCTGTTGAATACAGGAGGCATAATAAACGAGTGAAGCCTAACAATTGGCCATTATTTATTGACCAAAGGTTTTGTAGTTTGATTTATTAAAGTGATTTGATCGTTTTATTGAAATTGGACTAATTCGCTACGCTTTAAAGCGCATTTGCAGCAGACCAAATTAAACAGAAAACAGCCACTCTGTACGGCAAAATATTTGCATCTCAAATATTAAATAATCCGTATACATTCTCAATCGTGATGTGCTGAGAATTGCATTTAAATATGCTTTAAAGCATTTTTTTGAACAGAACAACAATTTCTCAGACTCACCAATAACTTGGTGAAGTTACAAAACTACTACTTTTTCTACCACATGTTTTTACTAAATGCATCCCTAGAGCTAGTTCGGTCTCACATATAGGACTTGAAGGGAAATACGATTTATGAGAAGATCTAAGCTAGGCGCCTGTGATGGTGAAATGCCTTAAGTACTCAGCTTGACTTCGTGTTGCATCACTTGAATTGATTGAGAATTATCAACAGCATTCCAAAGCAATTTCGAACTTTCCCACAAAATAATCTTTGTCTATTAAGTGCTGCAAATTTGTTTAGGTTTATTTTGAATACGCAATTACCTTCCAATTTATTTTTTACCGTCATTTTGGATGTAAATTTCATTGTAAACCTTCAGTGCAGAGATTATACGAATTTGGGGCTATGGTCGGTTGTTTGGCATGCGTTTGAGGAGAATTTGTCCGGAAGACCTGAAGTGAGATCTAACAGGCGAATGATGACGTGATGTCTCAACCTTCATAAAGCAAACCCAAGGAATGCTGCTAAGGAAGAAATAGAATCATTGGCATTCTTTTACATTTTACATTTAAGAAGATTGAGCCTAAAAGCGTGCTGACTACACATTAAACAGATTGACTGATGTTTCGTATATTAAGCCTTTTCAATGAAACGGGACTCCGCTATAATCAAATCATCCGCTTAATTTCCCTCACTAGTAAAAAAATAAAACCGTCAGCAGTGTGGGAGAAGAGTTGCTAACGATTACTTGAAAAATCATCCTAAAATTACAAAATCATGGTGCTTTATTAATTCTTTAGTTTTAGCTATTAAAACCCATCTGATGAGAAGCTAATATATCTGCAGTGATTCGATTGTACTTCAAAACCGGAGTAATGTCTTCGGAGCATGCTGTAAATCCCCAGTCTCCTCGCAAGTTATTAAGTAGTATTGTCTTTCATACCACTTTGATTTGTCACGACTCCAGCAAAGACTCAAAACGCTAAATTTCATTCACCGCACATTAGTTAATTTCAAACTAGATTTCCCAGACTGAAAGCATTTTTCCATTCTTTTAAAAGTGGCGTCTTTATGTACCGTTTATTTGGACGAGATTACGCTACTTTAAACCGGTTTGGTCCATTACAAAGTATTAAGAAACGTGGATGCCTTATAAAAACAGTAATTATTGAGACTTTACAATCAGACTTGACTTTTCTCTAATATATCGTTTTCTTTTTAAACAGAGAAGTATCTCGATAAAGGAAAGGAAAGGGTTGACAGGCTTTTTCTTAAGTACTTTAAAGCTAACCCATTCCACTCCACACTGCAGTGGCAAAATCTTACCGCTCTTCTTACACCAGTCATTAAAGTTTGGTTTAACTCGAAAAGAATCCCTTTTTACTCATCCCCCAAACCACAAGTTATTTGCGTTATAAAGCTTTTCGAGAAAGAAGGTTATGCAACTTCTAAATTTAAGGGATTGGATCGACATGAATAAGTTGTTACTAAATAACAGACTGAATTCAAAGTTATCGCATGTCCAAATAAACAGTTTAATGATTGGGAAAAGAACTTAAAAATTTGTAAAATAACCGGCCTAAATTGACGTCTCTGAGATGTGCAACGGAAACAGCATTGTTACTGCCCTGCGATTGGTCGAAGAATGCGAGACGATTGGGCATAACTCGACAAAAAAATTGACATCACCAGTAGGAATATGAGCTTGTAATTGTTTTAAGTTAACTTGATGTGCCATTTTACGTCTTCTCAGCTGCAGTGAGAAAAGAATGAGAACCACTCTGCTTAGCCTCTGTCTTCTTTGTTTTCTTCTGTTGGCAGTCACAACTACCACCCAAGCAGGTTTGCTCCACAGAAGCAAACGAGAAAACAGCGGGAGCCTGACTGATCGTCTGTTCCATAGAAGTTTCCGCAAAAGACATGAAGAGGCTACGCATAAATTTAATTTGTTTGGCAAGAAACGGCATAACAAGCGCAAGAAACCTCTGCTGAAAAGGCTCAAGACTAAGGCGAGGAATAGTGTGCTTAAAGCCCTTTTAGTAAAATAACGATAACAGTGCGATACCTCATTCACTTTATTTATCGGTGAAATCTATCAAAAAATCCACATTGTGCATCATCTCTTTATGCAACACGAAACATTATTATAATAATATGCTACACATTTTGTGCTCTCCTTTCGAGTATAAATGATACCAAAGCTACTGTCCGCAGACGTCTTCAAGCACTTAAAGAAATACTTATTTTGTCGATGGCTAAGTGGCTAAAATGCTACCTTTTGTTAAAATCACATTTCTAATTTGTTTATTTATTTAAAACAATCTCAAAGGTTGGGCCGGCCATTATGACTTTCAAAAAACGTTACCACGGCTTGAGCTAGACAGAGCAATTTCTTAGTCAGAAGTAAAATAATTGAAAAATTGAACTGTCAATAAATAAAAAACCAGTATCAAATACGTGATTACTCTGCAAAAACAGTCACGTATATATAATTTTCCGAATAATACTCAATCCATATTGTCTAGCATTATTTTGTAATCATAGGTGGACAATTGTGGAGGCTATTTTTCCTCATACATTTAATATGCTGCCCCAAAAGTTCATGAGAATGGAGAATACACTGATATGCAGAGCCAACCAAAAAGAACCTAGTCTACAAGAATTTGAGAATGCCAGCTCCATTCGATTCATGTCGTGTTTATTTGATATGCATATGTTTTTACATTGCCTACCACTTTATCAAGAAAGTTTAAATTTAGTGGACTGTGTGGTTGGCATTCAGTAACATTCACCAAATAGCTGTTTGAGTGCCGCATCTTCATTTTAACACCATAATGTAATGATCTGATTTTTTGTGTGACCATATTTCTCTAGGTGATCACTTCAGCCTGAGCAAAAAAATATACTTCCACTTTCAACTTAATCTTCAGGCCCCAATGATAGCTTTTTGGCTGCTTTTGAAGACTCAAGATATCGCAACAAGTTACTCTTCCCTTTGGTATTAAATCTGAATAGGTCAGAGAAAAGAAAATGTGTTCAAAGTTTAATAACAGTTTGAGTCAAAAATTGCTTTTTTACCTTTAGTGCATAAATTAAAAGATTGCTATATTTTAGTTATACATATTTTGAAAGATCAAAGAGGTATCTAGGAGGAGTTTAATAAATAAAAGCTCGAAGAGTCTAAATATATCTTAAAACTTGGAACTTTTAAAGCATATGGCTGGTGAATAAGCACTCCTTTGTCCATCGAAATCGACGTCAATATACGCTTAGCATTTTGGCAACTAGCCCCATCTATTTTTCCTACTGTCAGTCAGCAAAAAAACATACCTGAATCATCTACAAGTGCTCTCTTTCAGGCAGATTGAGTTTTATTATAGCGCTTGGCGTCAAGGCAGCGTGGAAATGCCTACAGTCTCATTTAGAGAGAAACCCAAACTGTAGAGTCTGAATTTCTTGCGTAGCTCAGCACTAGGTTAAACAAAACAACAGATCACCTCACTCAAACCCTACTGAACGTGGTGGTAACAACTGTTTTTACCATCACTTTATGGCTGCATATAATTTCACACAAAAAGGATTTACCACAGATGCTTCGTCACTAATGATTGACGGCAATTTAGAGCACTCCAGTTCAACTGCAAGTTTACGTAGTGAGATGCCAGTATTATCATGTCAATAATGGAATTGATAGTAATGAAGCGTCTGATAATAAAAACGAAAAGGTCCTAGTTGCTTTTGTGGAAAAGGTGGTTAAGATCACATATAAGCGGCTCCAGTCACTTGCAAATCACATTGGATTTGGTTAATTTGGGCGACTGTTTTGACCGTTACAAGAACCAAGTGTATTATTTGATGAGGTGACTCATGGTCGAAATGGAAGAGGTCACGAAGCTTTAGCGTTTTGGTGGATTAGATAGGTGAAGCTACAAAGCTTTATTGAATTTATGCACATCAGCAGCATATTAAACAGCCCAAGAACTTGGGCCAACATTTGCCACGGTCTTCAAGGAATCTATGGCGAATATTAGGTCGAAAAATGTGATTGCAAAAACTATAAGAAGAAGGGAGAATAATACCTACCAAAAGTGTCAAAGTGGCCTAGAAGTGTCTAGACAATCAAAAATTTGCGCTAGATACTACTGATACCTTTAAGCTTTACACCTCGCCTACCGTATGTTATGTGGCACGTGTTTTTTTTTCTCAATACACCGGTTTAGTAATAAGAAGGCAGATTGGATCAAACTCATGACTCAGGAAACGCATCTATTCACTCCAAATTTTCATATACCATGTTTCAGCGATGCATAATATCTTTTCCGAACCAATGGTTCGTATGCAGAGGTCTGATATGGGTGGTGGAGGGGGTAGAAACGATAAAGCGACAACCAGAGATTGTGATAACCGCCATTCACTTACCTCCAACCGTTACATACTATGATCTTAGATGACTTCCACATAAGTTATTCATGGCTAGATAGTTAGAAGGGGACAATAAACGTGCCGGTATTTTTTACTGACTCTTGTCGTTAAAATGGAGATCTTTGGAACCCTTATTGTTGGCGTTATTATTTTTGGTAACCGGGTAGCTCATGATCATTGGCATCTGCATTGAAGTTGGCTATGCACTTATTAGAAGAGACGTTACATGTTTAAGAAATAGACCTAACAAAAGAAGCACTTGAAATGCAGTTACGCTTGTCATCCTTGCTGCCCTGTGCAGTGACTATATATGCTTTGAAGTTCATAACTATTAGTGTTGTTTGTAGACCCCATCCCAGCCCCAAAATTGCACATGTCCTGATTTCAGAGAAGTTTTTTTGTCATTTTTGGCCCAGATTGTCGAACATTTTAGACGGCTTCACAATCTGCGCTCCTATTTCACTTATATCCAGAGGACAGTATCACGTACAAATTGACCAATAAAATGCGAGAAAGCAGAATTACCACTTTTTTGTCCAGCTCTTAGTCAGCGGTCACGTAAATTTGCAGACTACCATTTGACAAATAAAGCCACCCGTCTTTGTCTTTTGATTAGTCTAGTTGAGAACTCATCGAGAGCCATGCTCAGGCACAGAAACACTCGTTTTTAACTATAATTCCTTTGATAATTTTCTTCATTCCTTTCAGGTTCTTCTCAGTTAAAGTTCCTACAGAAGTGGAGCTAGAAATACAGATAGACAATGTCAAACAGAGTGATCATGTCTATTCAGAAGATAAATGACAAAAAATACACTAGTGAGGAATTCTTTATTGACCGGTGTGCATGTGTGGGTAGGCAGAGGCACGATGTGTATGTACGACTGCGAGCCTGGCCGATGGCTAATGGAAAAATGCTGGGGTCAGGTAGGAGCCTGAGTTTGCGTCCGCATCGAGTTCCAGTTACTTGATCACTTGATAAATGTTTTATTAAGCTAAAATGCATTCAAGTTTATGTTAACAATGTGCTCCTCCCTATGCCCCATACACCTTGACTGAAATGGAGAAAGGTTTCTAGGTACTCTTTTAGCTTAAACGTAAAATTCGACAGTTGAAAAATTTTAAATACTTGCCTAGTAGAATTTATTTTTTTAAAGCATAGAAGTACAACTTAGAGTTTCACCACTTTACTACTTGAAGAATGAAATTCAATCATGACGGCTTTACTACTATCAAGGATACAAAACGCCAACTAACGATTAGGGTAAACTGTTGGCACAATCAAGAACCAGTAAAAATCATTTTGCCTCAAATAACTCAGTAGCAATTTTAAGAAATGACATGGAATCGTAACTTTATGATTGTCTGTGAGATTACACCTTGTAAATTTGCGAGACAATTTTTTCATAAGTGGGAGAAATTTTAATGTTAGAAGTTATTTTCTGGCTAATCTCAGCTCCATTTCTGAGAGGCAGCTCTTTTTTTAGAGACAGGATTTGATTCTTTCTCACGCTAAAATAACGTCTAAATCAATCAGCTCAAAAACGTAGAGAGAGGGGGCCAAGGAGTAATGATGTATTTGAATTTTTAGGAGCCTTATCAAAGGAAATGTTGAAAGATCTATGCTCTAAGCTCGGGCAATACAAAGTTACTTCATGCAAGTCAATCATATTCTATCTAACAGCTTGATGCCTAAGAGGGCACAATGAGAAAGCAGTGATTTCTCATCAAAGGCTATCATTTTCCAAACCCGTTTGTTATGAGTCGCGAATAATGGCAGTAATTACTTGAAGGGTGTGGACCCACATTTAACCATGATCGAAGAAATCGCTTATGTTTGAGATTTAGCTAACATGGTCGTAGAAACATTGGGAGCGAACGCAAATCACAGACTTTAGAATTGGATATGCGTACAAACTCCCCTTTTGAGGATTCCAGTAACCGAAGAAAAAACCATCGTCCGATTTTCTAGAAGTTTTGATTATCTTGACCCCTGCTTACCCTTCATGGTTGACTAAGTCTGCGTATGAGCACTTTAAGTGTGCCAATAAGACTCAAGGTCAACCAGTGCAAGGACTAAGCGAAAACGAGGTCACTTCCTGCCTTTGGCATCCTCTACAATCAAGCCAGCTCTCGGGCTTCGTACGCCCCTGCTTACTTATCCACCTCGGCAATTAGACCATCTAGTATTCAAGTCTTTATTCGTCGGTAGAATCCAAGGTCGTGACAACACAAAAAAACTACAGAGCACAAGAAAATTTGCCATCCCCCAGTCTAATCTCATGTGATTAATGATTTGCATCTCGGACAGAAAAAACCTTTAGATCTCCACCCGCAAAAGCGCTTTCACCGAAAAGCAGAGAACAAAGTCAAGGAAGTAAATAAGCAGCATTAATTTATGCTCAACACATTCGCTGCTATTGCTTCGAGGCAAAATCAATCAAAAAGCGGTCTTGATGCCTCATTGTTCCAAGATGATGGCAACATTTGGGCAACTGAACTGGTAAATTCAGCATCTGCTTGAGAAAAATAGAAGCTTATCTTGAGAGACTAAAAAAACCATTCAGTCTGTTTCGTGTAGTCATCTGTCATAGACCAACAAGGGTAACAACATAATTGCGGCGTCAAGCCAAGCAAAATAAGAAGTTCACACTTGTAAAGAAAAGAGTCGAGTATTCCTCAAGAGAGTTTCTGAGATGACTTCAAGGGAAGACTATGTGTGGACGGAAATGAATGAGAGGAGAGAAGAGAGAGGAACGGTGCCACCGAAATCCATCCTGCCACCATCATTGTGATCCTACGGCGCTGAAAAAGGTAAAGAAAATGCGTCTTTTACCTGTAAGTACTCTGAAATAATACTTATTATTAATGGTCCATCTTTTACACAATTTCCGAGCATACTACTAATTATCATCCCAATCCCACTCACCTGTGTGAACCAACCTTTGATCGCACTTCAAATGTTACTTATTTGCCGGCCAACTTATGAGTAGGCATTGTCAAATTGATAAAGGGAGAAGACTCGCTCGTGAACCGTTTGGCTTGGATTTTCCGCCATATTATAAATGGTGATTACTTCTGAGACTTCTGGTAAACTCCTGAACCCCAATGGGTAATGGTGGTGGCTTGATCCATCATTATGTAACTCGAGCGCTAAACGAGAGAATACGGTTCGTTTTGTCCCCAAAAAAAAACCACACCAAAATTAATTGCTGGCCTCCGATTAAGGTCTTTGTTTTTTCACTAAATAGATTTTTTCATAAGGATACTTACAATGGACAAAAGTGACAATGCAAGAGGTACTGTGTATAGTAGGAATTAGATTCGGAAGGTGTCAATCACTTAATTCATAGCTGTCAACTTTAGGTAGCTCAAAAACAGTTTCCCGTCCGCATCAATGATCCATTGTGTTCACGTTAAACGCGTCATCACGCAAATGACAAACTAATAATGTGAATTACCCCGGTGGGGTTTGACAATTCCCTACCAGTAACCCTTGAATACTCCCAGATTTTGAGCACATTTCCGACCTGATGTTCTGCACCTTGACATTAACCACAAGTAGCAACCGATAATTGCAGAAAATTTTCTCAGCAGATGTACATTTCACAAGTAGTGATCTACTCTCATCAAAAACCGGGCCTACCAAAGGTCTGGCAAGTAGCCAATGCTGTAGGGATATGGTAAATCTGAGGCTCTGAATTATAAACCGGGACGTTTGAGCTTCTCGACTTTTATCATGTAATCGTCTGTTGTATTCATGAGTCTAATCAAGCCTTCTACTAACACTGAACCGTCGCGGCATGCTTAGAACAACCTACTTCACTGCCTTCGTACCTAGCCAAAGTTACCGTCTTGGAAGAGCGAATGCTTGTGAAGACTGCGTAGTACTTGCCGTTGCTATATCAAGAGTCGTCCGTCTACTGTACACTTTCACCGCAGATTGTGTCGACTAGGCGTTTCATGCACTGGCTGGCTGTTCACAGGAATGACTGCCGTGATGCGTCCAGATGAACATCATTAGGCTTACATTCTACATCTAATAGAAAGCATGATGAATTGGAATGGAAGTTGTCATCATCTTTGTAACCGTCACAAATTTTGATCTACTGCATGGAGAGCTGAGGATTAAACTAGTAAGATGCACCCCCATGGGCCAAAATGAAGAAATCCGCTGAAGATTTGGTATGGTATGCAATTTCACTTATTCTTCAAATTCATGTCAGTAACATCGCTATCGTTTTAGCCATTGCAATTGAATCATAAATCCACCTTATTCTTTCCATAACTCTCCTCTTCTTCTACAGTCATCTTCCTTCAATCCTCTACGAGTTGCTTTGCCGGAAACTTCTATCTCCCAAAGTTATTGTTTCGATGAAAGGAATTTCAAGAGCGGCCTTGAAGAGAGGCGAGGAAAGAACTGAATTGAGAAAGCAATCGTTTCTTCCTCATTCTGATACTTTTTAATGTTGATGGCAGAAGAGAATGAACCACTCAGTAATCGCGTCTAAGCATTTTAATGTTTACTTCGACGTGGAGGGCGTTATTTTCTTTAAAAAAAGAGACTAGGCTAAAAGATTGAAAAACGCTGCTTCCTCACCCAAGAGGAATGAACAAATGATGTCAAGTAAATGCAGCCTAACGTCAAGAGTGTTTCAACATAGTTTAGAAGGTGCGCCAACAAGCAAGAAGCCACCTGAATGTCTCGTTAATACAATAAGTGAGTTTTCATCTTCACCTAATTTTACTCACATT